GAGCTGGGCTGCGCATTGTTTGCTTGTCCTCCCCCATAAATATGTCTGTTCTATATGTTGTCTCCTCTTAGACAGTAAGATATTTGGAGCAGGGTCTATCTACTGTACAGGCCTAGCACTATAAAGTATTAATCCAGATCCGTGGTGCTGTCACAATAAAGAGAATAGAAATAAATAGTACGCCAACAACAAAAAAGGATAGCCTCAAAGGTGTATGAAACTGCTCTTTGTGGTATTGTATAAGACCTATTTTACATCTTGTACACAATAAATAAAATTTTCTATTAGGAAAGTTTGTTGATTCACTAGAATAAATCACCTTTCCATTCTCCTTTTCATATCTGACAATATATGGACCTCAACACTTTTATTTCCAGGCCAAGGCTACAGTGTATTATTCTAGGTATCTAGTTTTGATATAGTCTGATATAGCATATAATCTAAGCACAGGAATGCTTGTTTTATAGTGAGGGTTGAGATATAGTTTACATCTCACAGTGAGTCTTAAGGGGAGACCCAGCACCGGCATTAACTGTTATGGCTCCTCCACAGATGCAATGGGACCAGAACCCATTTCCTTCTGTTGCAAAAATAGCACGTTCCTTTTGTAATCTGCACTGCAGGACAGTAGAGTATGACTCATGGCAGGATGCTCGGCCATGGCAGAAGCAGCTAATACAAACACACACACGTTTGTCAAAACTTAAAAAACAAATTATCCTACAGCCAGTTCAGCGGCGTTATGATACAATACTGCCAACAAGTGTGCAAAAATCATGAGCCACACACCCCAGCAATCTTGGCTATGATTTAAAAATAATTAAAAAAAACCAATACATTTTAGTACTTTTTATTTAGTTGTGGGGCCATTAGTGTGCTGTCATGCTGTGTTTTGAAGCTATTCTTTGCAACTATAATGGCTAAAAATTACCTTTTTAATGGAAGTTGAGATTATCACATAATCACTTCAGTCAGGGAACTGGGGCTTTATGAAAGCCAGCAAATACTGTGACACTCACAATCAAATTGTGTTAGGATGCACAGCAGGGCTCAACCCATGTTAGTTAAAGCACTGCTGATTTTCATTGTGCAGTATAATCGTTAATGAGTGTGGTGACACCTACAACACTAACAATTTCAGGCATGTATAAAAAGGGTAGAGAGAAGGTACAGTAAGTTTACCCTGGATGTTGCACTGGTGAGAACATAAGAATGGTTATACTGGATCAGACTAGCTACTCATCTAGCCCCAGTATCCTAGCTTCTAACAGTGGCCAATGCCAGGTTCCCCGAAAGAATGAACCAGTAATCGTCAGGGCTGTGTCTACATTGGCAAGATTTTGCACAAAAGCGGTTGCTTTTACATAAAATCTTGCCACCTGTCTACATTGGCCGCGAGTACTTGCGCAAGAACACTAACGTTCTAATGTATGAAATCAGTGCTTCTTGCGCAACTACTCTTGACGCTCCCGCTCAGGGTTCAGGCAACGTTAATTACTTGTGCAAGAAAGCCCGATGGCTAAAATGGCCAGCAGAGCTTTCTCATGCGAGAGCATCTACACTGGCACAGATGCTTTTGCACAAAGGCACGTGCCAGTGTAGACGCTCTCTTGCGCAAATACTTTACGCAAAAACTTGTGTTAAAAGTATTTGCGCAAACTCCTGCCAGTGTAGACGTAGCCCAAGTGATCCATCCCGTCACACATTCCCAGCTTCTGACAAACAGAAGCTAGTGACAACATCCCTGCCCATCCTGTTTTTTAGCCATTGATGTACCTATCCTCCATGAACCACTACTCTTTTTTGAGGCCTGAAATAGTCTTGGGCTTCACAACATCCTGTAGCAAGGAGTTCCACAGGTGGACTGTGTGTCGTGTAAAAAAAAAATACTTTCTTTTGTTTTAAACTTACTGCCTGCTAATTTAAGACCCATACTGGAACACTGTGTACAATTATGGTGTCCCCCTTTTAAAAAGGAAAAGATTGGAGAGGTGCGCAGAAGAGCCACTAAACAATCTGAGGGCCAGGAAAATCAATGTCTTACAGTGAGACGCCTAAAGAGCTCAATGCTGGGTCAGACCAAAAGGTTCTGGCCTAAAGAGATTAATGTTGGGTCAGCCCGAAAGGGCTCAATGGATTTTAGCCCATCACAAAGACCAGGGTGCACCATAAAATCCCAGCTCCGATCCAAAGAGACGCTCTAGTGCAGCGGCAGGAGCCAGGCGCAGGCAAAAGGAGGGCTCTTTTTTCACAGGGCGGGTGGGGGGCGAGTCACCACTGACGGGAGGTAGGTGCAGCGGCGTCTCCGCCTCGTGCTGCTCAGCGGGAAGATTTGCTTTCGCCAAACGCGGGCGCTGGCTGCAGGGCTGAGGTCGCCGCCCGCGAGGCCCAGCCTGAGCCCCCCCGCTTGACGGCTGGAGAAAGCGAGGGGGGGGGGGGGCGGGG